GAAGGCGCGGATGAGCGAGCTGGAGCAGCAGGTGCTGGAGCTGGAGCAGGAGGTAGGAGGCGGCCGGGCGAGGCGCCTGGGCAGGCGCGGCGCTGCTGAGCGGGCTGCTCAGGTGGTCTCTGTGCTTCTTTCAGAACCAGAAGCTCCTGCTCGAAAACCAGCTGCTGCGGGAGAAGAGCCAAGGCCTCACGGTGCAGAACCAGGAACTGCGCGCCCGCTTAGGGCTAGATGCACTGGAGACACCAGGCAAAGTGCCCAAGGTGAGCCCGCCTGCCCTGGGAGTCTGGGACAGCCAGCTCCACTGGCCGTACCTGGGCTGAGCCTGCAGAAGGGGTTGGCTTACATACGCATCCTGAGAGCTAAAGTCCTACTGTAATCATTAATTAGTAGGCCTGTACTCTCTCCACTGACAGCTTGGAAATGCCCTTCCCCCACCAACATTCAGAGTGCATTCAAACTCCTAAAATGTACATGTAAGCTGGACTCTGTGTAATTTGCTTTTTACTCTTGAATTCCAAGTTGCATTAACTGTGGCCACAAACTGGTTGGGGGTGAGTGAATATTAAATCTATGCCACAAAGGGGAAATAATGGGCTGGAGAGGTCAGTTTTCCTCCGGGGAAGGAACCAGTTTATGGATGTTAGCCACAGCAGTGTGTTTTGAACACATGCCTATGACTGTTGTCTCACTTCCCAGTCTCTGCAGCACTGGTCCTTGTTCTTGGTGCTAGCCAAGTGACATTGTGATTCAGCCAACAGGCAACCAAAGGATGGCTGCATGTCCCTGGGGCAGTATCACAGCCTTGCAATAACGGCAAGAACTTCAGCACATGGTTTGGGAGTCCAAATAACTCTGGATAATTAGGCTTCTCTTCTGATGCAGATTGTGATGGAATCACAGGTGGATGAAATCAGGATGGTGACCGGGTCCGCTGAGTCCGCAGCACTCAGACTACGTGTTCCTCTGCAGAAGGTGCAGGCCCAGCAGTCACCCCTCCTGACGCTCTCCACATGGATTCTGATAGCAATGACTCTTCAGACTCTGAGGTGAGCAGCCATCCTTTTTACAGAGCATGAATTTTTGAAAAAACTGTAGCCAAGTGGATATCCAATTCATCTGCTTTGGTGCTCGTGGCAGTAGAATTTGAGCTGTAACACACCAGTAACAGTTCCAGTGTGAATTGTTGAGGTAGCTCTTGATAGAAAGGCATATTTTAAAGGCCCAGAGGCTCTTAGACACATTTGTACTTGTGAGTCTTGGGCAAAAATTGCTGACATACAAGTTGTGTCCAAAAAATCAGAATCTAGGTGAGGGAGGCAGTAACTTGTGTTGGACCAACTTCTGTTGTTGGGTCGACAGGGTTTCAAGCTCTGTGTGAACTCAAAACTTGTTTCTCACCAACAGAAGTTGGCCCAATGAAAGCGATTACCTCACTCACCTAGTTTCCAGTATTCTGGGGCCAATACTGCATAGTCCATATTGTAAGAAACCATTCAATATGAAGTGGCCTGTTAATGCTCCTGTGGTCATAGGACAAAACCAGATCAAGAAGTTAAGCAGAAGTTATGCTGACTATTTTGAAGGCAATTAAATAGTATATGATTTGATATTGTCCCCATACCCATTATTCAGCTCTTGCAACATGAAGCACAGACTCCCAGAAATACAGGCCTGAAAGGGGTGGAGCTTGAGAAATTTGTCTAGGTCCCGGCACTGAGGCAGGATTTAAGGATACATAGAAAATCCCTGACAGTCTTGTCAAAGCTGTTCTTAAAAACCTCCAATAACAGGGATTCTGTAACCTCCTTGGGAAGGTAGTCCAGTGTTTTATTATCTTTATAATTAGAAAGTTGTCTTGATAGCCAGCCTAAAGCTTTGTCTGTGCTAATGCTTTTTGTTACTCACGGGTGTATTTTTCACACCCCTGACCAACATCAGTTTCATTGACAAAAAATGGTGGTGTGAACAGTGCTGTTGGCAGGAGATCCCTGTCCCACTGACGTAGTTATTGCACTCGTTGGGGGAGGTTTCTTTATGTCAGAGGCACAGTTGTTTTTTGCAGGCAGGGTGCAGATACACAGGAATCCTTGCATACGTGCCACTGTAAGGTCTGTAGTGTAGAGATAACCTGCAGCCACGGAGATTAGACTTAAGTCATTACTACTACTTCTCCATGTCCACTGAAGGTAGGACAACTATCTTGATCTCTGTAACAACCCTTAACATAACTGAAGACTGATTTCCCCGCCATGCAATCTTTTCTGAGGACTAAACGCGCACGCACAGGTTTTTAACATTCCCTCTCCCTGCCCCAGCTCAGAATTCTTGCAGTTATGTCACTTCTGTTGATCTCTGGACATATTCCAGTTTCTTCACATCTTGCCCAAAGTGTGGACTTGGTGCTCCAGACTAGATCTCATCATTGCTGCAGAGAGCAGGGTATTTGTTCCATGTCTTACTCAAGAGACTCACTGTGCCCTAGAACATGTAGCCTTGTTGCAGCTGCATCACATGTTGACTCATTCTGTTTGTGTGCACATGAAAGCCCTGAGAAATACAAACCTTCAAAGCGTGCCTTGCATTGCTACTGTAGCTTTGGACAGGTTTTAAGTAGCCTATTTTTGTGAAGTCTACTGGCTGCTATTCAAGTGTTGCCTTGGTTCCAAGCGGTCAGAGATACAAAGATTCGTGAAAGCTGCAAGCCGAGAAACATACAGGTTGAGACTGATAACCTTGTGGTCATGGAAACTACTGCTCTGGCTAGCAGCTGGTACTGACACTTTATTCCCACATCTAGCCTGTTTGTTGGCTCTACAGAGACGGGAGGCAAAGAAAGCTTATTTGTTTGAACAGTACCCACCACTGTGCAGGGTACCTGATCTTGAGATGGCCCCATTAAGACTTCTGTTATGCAAGTCAGTAATGAGAACAATCTTATGGTCCCAGTCAAACTGGGAAGGGTTAATGGACAAGAAAGCTCAGGCTTAAGTAAATGACCATATCAAAGTACATGTGACCATTCCTGTTGTTGCTGCCTTTCAGTGCCTATCAGGCCATATTGTGCCAACTCTGTCTGGGGGGGCTGGTTTCAAGGGTGTGTTTGAGTTGTGTATAGTAGTCTACATGCCCTTTCTAAAGTGCTGGGTTTTGTGTTCCACAGTCTGATCTACTGTTGGGCATTCTGGACAGCCTGGACCCAGACATGTTCCTCCGGTACAGTAATTCAGAGTCAGCGTGCTTGGAAGAGCTGGAGGAAGAGATCTGTGGAAAAGAATCAGATTCCTTACCAGCCTCCCCCACTCCCTCTCTGGGGTCCTCATCAGCCAAGTTGGAGGCCATTAATGAACTGATCCGGTTTGACCATGTGTACACCAAGCCCCTAATCTTTGAGATCCCTGCTAAAATGGGCAGCCACACTGATATGCTAGCGAAAATAGAAGAAGCATCGCTCTCTCCCTCAGAAGACAAGGACCTTTCTCAGGCCTCAGTCTCAGTTAAAAAGGAACCCATAGACAACTTTTTGCCTGAGCTGGGTATCTCAGACCTGCTCTCATCTGAACACAGCCTTGAGACCTCTTGCTGTCGGTTGGATGCAGGTAGTGACTCTGGATATGAAGGCTCCCCTTCTCCCTTCAGTGAAATGCCCTCTCCACTGGGCACAGCCCATG